TATACAATTATAATATATATTATATATATTATAATTTGTACAGAACATTTACACCTCTAGATAGGACTTTGAATTTTAGTTTTTTAGCTCGGAGATAGCACAATTTTAAATATCTGGCTACTATATTAAACAAGTGTGTGAATTCCTGTCTGTAAAAATTTCATGTTCCAGGAAAGTTGCCAAAAAGCAGCTAGAACCCTACATTTTTGACCCGAAAATAGAGCTTGAACCTTTGTACTCTTTTTTCTCAGCCTCCTCAGTACGCTGAACTGCAGCCTAGTTTTAACATTGTACCCAGTGATCACATGGACTGGTTCTTTGTGTGACGCTTTACGAAATACTTGCCTGAACCGCAACCATAAACACTTTGCCCTAGTCCACTGATGTAATCACATCCAAAAATAGTTTTATGGCTTATGTGATAAATACTGTTCTTCAGAAAGCCACATTAACAACTACTTTCTGTTCTTGCTAATCCTAGAAGAAAATCTATCAAACAAGCAAAAAACTCCAAGACTGTATTCTCTATACAACTGTGTAATTCCATTTATTTCAGAGATGCCTGTTCTTTACAACAAGTTTGGTATAACACCTTCAGTCTATGTTGGTTGGCGTTAAAATTTTCACAGCAATGTTAATTTAGGTAATGCCTTCCTAGCCGCATTAGTTCCCACTGCTAGAGAACACTATATGATGAAGAATTCCCTTCAGGGACCAAGCAATGATTCCTCAATCTTCAACTATACAGTTGAGGATGTATTAAAAGTACAATACTGCCTTTAAAATTTGAAATATTATTCTTGTCATACGCAATTTTCATTTGCAAAACCTGCTTTTGACACAGCCATCAGAAAATTGAACTGAAGAAAAATTTAATCTAGAGATTAGTTACATCATTCTGAAAAATCATAGGTCTAATGAAATACGCATATAGCTCAATAAAGTTGAAGACTGTATATAAGTAAGATAGTCCAGTGGCAGATTTACGTACTGCCATAAAAGAATGATGTTAACTGTTGGTAAGGTTCACAGGGCAGTAAATAACTAGTCTGCTGACTTCCAGATTACACAGATTGAATGGTTTTGTATGCAAAAGCAGGTGCAGGCCCCCTACTTTCTCCTCCTTTGTTCTTCATCATGTTGCACTGAAAATCTAAAAGGTGTTGGCTCTTGCAAAAACCCTCTTCCAATTTTTAGTCTTCTAGTCTACTGGTTTTGGATTGGTATCTGACTCTGAGAAGTTTTAACACTTTTCAACTCCACTCATTTTATTCTGAGTTCAGAGTTGCCCTATACGAGTAAAAATTATTCACATACTTACTGTGTCTAGCTTCTGAGATAACCAATTTGTGAGTCACTTCGCCAACTCTGTCCATAAGCCCTGTTGCCCTCTAAATATATGTAACACTCGAAAAATGTTTTATCTTTACAAAGGCAACAACAGTGCTCAAAATTGCTCAAATATGATAAATGAGAAACATGTATGCAAAACAGTATATTTAGCTTTATAATTATGCTGTCATATAATCAACATCGAGAAATAATTACATAATTTTTGAGAGGTTCATTACACAATAAACAGTAACATGTTTAAACAGGCAGAAATGAGATTCTCTGTACCATACTTGCTATATGATCTTTATTAATGTGTCAAAGCATTAGACAACGGATGGAAAGAGATTACCTCTATCTTAATTAATCCTTAATTAGCCTCCACATTTCCAAGGGCCACACAGCATATGAAATCCCCGAAAACAATTTCATTCTTAGAAGAACTACATATAGTATCTTCAGGTCCTACTAGAAAATTCAGACACTCAAGGTAATCCTTTCTCAGTAGGTCAATTTTTTTGCAACAGATTTTGCTCTCTGCTGCCAAGAGCTACCTAAACAACATGAAGGAAACTATAGAAAGCTCTCAAAGAAGTGGAAGGAAAACTATACTCCAAATACCTTCTGCAGTACATTGCTTGCAACGAAGTATTCAGGTTTGAATTCCTTCATTTATGGGAGACTCCAGAAACAAAATGTGACTGCAGTACATTCTGGTGACACGGCTGCTTCTTAGAACATAGTAGTCACTCCCTGATTTTTATTTGATTCTTCCTTCCAAAAACAGGCCTTTTCTCAGTATCAAGGGGTAAAAGATCAATTGCTTAACTTTCCCTTAGAACACTATAACCAGGTCTTGCCATCTAAATGGAAAAATACTAGCTTTGGTTGGTCAGAAATCAGAGAATCTCTGGTTTCACACTGGCTTAACTGATTAGAATTTGATCTATTAAAGTGATTTGTTGAGACACGCTGCGTGAAAGAAAAAAAGTTCAACAAGACGAAACTTTATAAGGCTGTTTGCTGATCACCAGCTGTTGGCCAGCCCACAGAGCAAGCAAAGCCAACTAAGAAAGTGGATGATACCATCTAGTGGCTGGCGCCCACCCTTTGGGGCATGTCTCGCACACTTCTACAGACCTGCATGCTCAAAAACTCCTGCTTGGCAAACCTGTACTGGCAGTGGTACATTTGGAGAGAGTATCTGTCCCCGTCAGAGTGGAGGGAGAGTGTTAGAGGTAAGGAAGGTAACTTGAAGGCGGGACCCAGCAACCGAAGCTCCCTCTGCACACTTCTGTTACCTCGTAATTATCAGCACTGCTCCAGAGCTGTGTGGAACAGCCCGGCAGCATCAGAAAAGCAGGGAGGAGTGGAAGGATGACTCAGTTTCCAGTAAAGAAAGTTCACTCACTAAAGTCCTTTCCTCCCTACTCTGAGGTGTCTGCCTTTTCCTACCACAGCTAACCTTTACTAGACCTGACCTTACAGCAACACCCCAAAAAAACATTTTAGATGAAGAGACCAACATACACCATCTACCATTACAGTACCAAAATCAGGTATTACCAGGGTATTTAGTCCACCATGGCAATTTCCAACTGCTTTTTACTCAGGCTTCGTGACTGCCATGTTTTCCTCCTCTCACTCTCAAACGTTTCAGACCCCTGTCTCCTCAAAACTCCTCTGTAACCTCTCAACTTTGGCCACTTCTGTCTCCTTGGTCTCCTGAAGAAATCAAAAGACTTTGTCAGCTAAAATTTTGTGCTGCCTCTCCACCTTTGCTCCTTACTATTTGGGAACTACTGGTCAAGAGCATAATCAGCAGTATGATGGAATACGTAAATGATCAGGGATGCAAGTCACAGTGATTTGGGATCTTTGCTGGTTCTTTAAGTAACTTTCTGTAAGATTTCAGACAAGATGTATTTTCTGAACCTTGTTTTTTCAGCAAATTGAATATATCTAAGGATAGGCTACATCCTTATTTACTATCCACTAATTTCTGGAATTCTATTTTAAAAAATGAGAATTGCACTTTTGGAATTGCTCAAGTATTTCCCTCCCAAGCCACAGGTTATTTCCTTCCTATAACAAAGCAACAAAGCCTATTGTAATAGGACTATCTGACAGATTGAAGTGAGATTCTGAAAATCCATGCTTGCCACAGAAGTACAATAAAACCTAAGGCTGCTCTCTGAGATGTCTGTGCCCTTCAACAGAAGCAGAAATGAAAGCTCTGGACTTACAAATGCCATAAATCCAGGTCTGAGCAAACTGATTTGGTTACTGCCACAGACCTACATATAAGCTTCCCCACAAGATGGTTTATAATGACTTAAGCAAGATATTCTTGCAGCTGTCTATGTTAGTGTAGCTAGGCAGTGTCTGCTCCCAGAAAAGTCCATTCAGGTGTATCTGTAGTCAAGTTTTAACCTGAAGGTATATTACTCTGGAAATATTTCACTTTCTTCCTAGCTTTCTCTTTTAGTAGGCATAGTTTTCCTTATTTAATTCTGAATTGAAATATTTAGCAGCATTTCTATAATTAGCAGGTGACATATTTGAACACAAAATCCTCAAAAATTTGGTATATTTTAATGATCTTTTTTGATCAACATTGTGCAAGAGTATAGCTTTTTCATAAGGACTTAGAGAAATTACATTATTTTTTAGCTGCCTTTGAAAAAACTCATAGCTACATTCTGCAAGCTTAAGATGCGGTGAGAATCTGTGTCTGCAGACCAAATTCAGACTGTTTCAGTATGTCCTAGCTTATGTAGGTTTTCTTATTTTCACTCATTTTAGAATTAGTCTAAAAGCACAAATGACTGCAAATACCACAGAACATGACTGGTCTTGTTCAGAACCGTGCCTCTCTCATTCTGCAGGAATATAGGATTTCAAGCTTTGAGCAGAGGCTGATGAACGAAATAGAATTTCGCCTTGAACGTACGCCGGTGGATGAATCAGATGATGAAATCCAACATGAAGAAATCCCTACAGGCAAATACATAGCACCGATCTTTGATAAGAGACTCAAGCATTTTCGGGTAACGGAAGGATCTCCTATTACATTCACTTGCAAAATAGTTGGAATACCTGTTCCCAAGGTAGGTCATTCTGTTAGTGGTAAAGGAATAAAAATCAACTACCTGCTATTTTCTACACATCCCTCTGGGAAGTCTCACTGCTAAGAACATGGCTCTGGGGAGAGAGCTCAAAATTTTTTTCCCCTCCGCTTTCTAAAATACCAGTATTTGCTCCCGAGCATGTATCAGGCCTTGATGTACTGTACAGACTGCCTCACAACCATCTGATTCCAAGAGAAACAGAACTTCATAAACCCCCGAAACATTAACTTCTCTGAGAGATGAGAACTGATCTGAGATAACCAGTAATGTGTCTCTAGCCAAGAAAAGAGAACCTGACAGGCCCAGCTTTGTAAAGGAGATATGCAGCTTTCTGAATTCAACCTGGAATCATTCTATTTCACATTCTAACTGATCTGCAAATTTTGTAATATCCTAAGGTTTTTATTAGCAATTGATCAACATATGTCATGTTCTTATCTACATTTTCTCTAGTCACTATTCCACTACAGAGCAAGTGTTAAGTCACTGGGGGGGTCTGATCACTACAGGTATACTGGTTCAAGGATGGCAAGCAGATTTCAAAGAAAAATACTCATTTCAAAATGAGCAGAGAAGAGGATGGAACATGTTCTTTACATATTGAAGCTTCTACTAATGATGATGATGGCAACTATACAATTATGGCTGCAAACCCACAAGTAAGGTGTTTTATTTTCCTCTACAAAAATGCTTGTTTCATCTTTTTCTAATATAGGAATAATCTGTGTTAATAGGAACACAGATTGGGCCACCTAATCTGACATCGAGTAGTGCCTGTATTAAAAATCAGATGCTTCAGAGGATGGGAGAGGAAACCATGCAATGCAGAATGATGAAACTACTCCCCTATTCTTACACATCCCAGTCACAATCATTAAGGACTTTGTTTCACATTAGTAACTCCTGCCCTATCTTCTGACCCCGCCTCTGTTGCTGATAGATACCTTTTGAGATGTGGTGACAAGACAGATATGATATTTCAGGCAGAAAGAATAGAGCAAGGGGAAACAAAAAGTTACATCAAATTTGGAAGTGTCACCAAACACAATTACTCTTTATCTAGGATGCAAAGATGTGGACTGCAAATAGTCTTGTCCCCTAATACCATTCTCCTTCACCCGATGTGCTAGCTTAGTTGTTTATTTAGCAGTACATTCAAGTAGATCAGGCAACTTTTTTAAGTTTAATTTTTTCCTTTTGTCGAACTATATTTCAGTCCAACTACTACTCAGTTTCTGTGTGGCTGCACAAACAACTATGCTAGTACAGAGGTACTAGCAGACAGTGCCTGTGGAGACACAGTGGCAGGAATGAACAAGCAGGGACAGACTGCTTAAGCTGGTTTACACAGCACCACCGCTAAATGAAGAGTCTGAGAAACACACTGCTCTAGACACACAAAGAAACCCCTGCCTCAACTGCAGTCCACCGCATGCCAATAGCATTTGCTTTGAAAAAGTAGTACTTACACTACAGTTCAGCTACTTTATAAAAAGAAATCCTAATGCATTGTAAACATTAAATATTTGTACTTTAAAATGAAATGAGCTATTAACCAACTATTAATTCTGTTTCCATTGCGATTTGCAGGGGAGAATCAGTTGTTCAGGCCACCTGATGGTTCAGAGTATCCCTGTTCGGGGCCGAGTATCAACAATTCAGCCTCACAGGTAAAAGGAAAGACAAGTACTTCAGACCCTCTTTATGCTTCTTACTGAAGGCATTCAAACTAACTAGCTACTGTACTTCAATGCACTCTGTACTTCAGTTCTCAACCGTAAAATGGAAATAACAGCAGCAGTTCCCTCCCAGCAGGTCACTTCTAGAATGTAGTATTTTTGAAAGTCATCTTCAAATACAGGGAAGTTTAAGTGTAAAGAATTATTTTATTTACCTGTTGCAGTGGAGTTAAAGGCAAGGGATGCATTAGCAAGATGAAATTCAGCCAAAAAATCAAAAATAAGTGAAGGACAGCTTGGGAATTCAAGGATACTACACGATATAGTTAATTTGATAATCTAAGTGGAAAATATGCAAGTATTAAATTATAATCAGTCCATTTCTTTCTGCCCTTTTATTTAACTCAAGCTATCTGTTCATCCTGTTCCACAACGTCTTCCTTTTTTTAAGCGTTAGAAAAAAAAGTTTGGCTTCCAAACATATACATGCAGTTTTTGTGTTACAGAACACGACCCCGGGCACCTGAAGGAGACAAAGAGGCAGTTCAAGAACGCTTTTTCAGGCCATACTTTCTACAGGCTCCAGGTGACATGGTAGCACATGAAGGGCGACTTTGTAGGTTGGATTGTAAGGTATTAACTGTTTCCTCTGTTCATTCTCACTTTCCCTACCTCCGTACATGTATTGCTAGGTGTTTTCATGTCCTTCATTGCATGCATGAACACTTTCTGTTAAAGTTTTAATGCTTCATTTAAAAAAAGAATTCTTGTTGCCATTGTCTCTGAGCTGATTCAGGGGGTTTCTTTTCAACACATGCTATATGGAATGAAGAACACAGAAAACACAACCCCAGAAATAGAAGGCTCACTTACAAGGTTGTTCAAATAACTAGGTATGTTCACCATGTCCTTTACTGGTCCGAACTCCAGAAGTTCATCTGGGAATGACAGGTCCTTCTGCTCCATTATCAGATTCTTGAACATAATTCAGAATAGCACAAAACCATGAGAAACAGAGGATTCAGCATGTTGCATTCTGTTCAAACAAATGTTCCCATTGTATTGGGCTGAATTACTGAAGATTAATACTCCCTGAAACGAGGGAACAGAGCCCAGTTCGTTTTATGCTTCCCCAGCATGCACAGATGCAGAAACATCCCCATTTACAGATTCAAATCCCCTCATGAGAGAGTTCTCCGAGATCTCAGAGAGTACACACAGTGAACATCCTGTTATTGAACAGCTTTAAGGAACTCATCTGCTCCAACATATTTTGGTAGTCCCTCTAAGTCCCAGTAGCACAGCAAAGGTGGTAGTGCTGACACTGACCTCTTCCACGCTCCAGAATGTCTCCTACCCTGCAGAGGGTGGAAGCTCTGAAACAGAAGTTAATGCCCTGAAGATCAACAACGTTCATTACTACTTAATTTACAATGTAAAGTTTACTAGGGAGCATGCCAAAGAATTTGGTTATTCTTAGCTCTACTATCCTGGCAGAGCTTGTGAAGCCCTAAAGCATGTCTGGTATTGCACAAACCTGGAAGACAGCAGTCCTCGTTCAGGCAAGTTCCAATTCCCTCTTTGGTTTGTAGAATATTGTTTGGAAAGCCATATTTTAGACATGAGTAAGTATTTCCATCTATTAGAAAGATTTCTAAGACTATAATACAGTCTAATAATCTTTCTATAAAATACTTAATCTACAGTGTTCTAAAGCATTTAACAGCTACAAAGAATGATATCATTCTTCATCAAATTTTATGAAATACAACATCATTTGTATAGAACTCTCTTTCATCTCTATTAAACTCTGTAGTGGTTTAGATCCAGGGTTTTGATTTATACTCAGCACTGAAAAAAGAAGAGAACTAGTAGATTACTAAGAGTTCTTTGTGAATTTGATACATAACCAAGTTTCTTCCTCTCTGACTAAGAAAAATGCAAGCAGTTCATGTATTTGTTGTCTTGGGATTTTGCTGCTTGTTTGTTTTGCTTTTCTCCCTTTTGGAACTAATCAGCAGAAATCAGAAGTTTAGAAATAAAAAAATTTCAGAACTTTCTGTTCTAGATTCTGACATCATTCAGATGGTATCTGAAGAAAGGCTTACTTATGAATTTACTAAAATCTATTTGTCAGTTTGACATTTGTCTCTAGCTGTTTCACTGTCTGTTAGGTGAGTGGGTTACCAACTCCAGACCTGACGTGGCTTCTGAATGGCAAACCTGTGCTACCAGATGGCACCCACAAGATGCTGGTCAGAGAGAATGGAGTTCACTCTCTGCTTATTGATCCTCTCTCACAAAACGATGCTGGAACTTATACTTGCCTTGCCACTAATAAAACAGGACAAAATTCATTTAGTTTGGAGCTCACTGTTGTAGGTAAGAATCATTGAAAAACTAGTCACAATGCTGTAGTTATTTGTATGCACTTCTTCA